ATTCCAGATATAAATTTACAATGGGAACAGACTACTTCCCAATAAAGAGTGATTTATTATCTTTTCCTTTGGTATTCATATCAGTAATACCTTGAATTGTGACATACAGATCATGGAGTTTTGTGGAAAACATGCTGATTGCAAGAGGAGCAGGATTGGTCCCGCTAGCTGGAAGTATTTTTACTGCTACATCTTTTGGATTTCTCTTTTCCTTTTATCTTGGGCCAGATTCTGTTCTCAGTTACACCAGTACCGCCACTAAAGTCAGTAGAGTTACTCCAGATTCACAATGGCATAATTGAAAGAGGACTTTAGCCCATTGATACTAAAAGCATTAACAAAAGAACAAGACTGCTTGTTTTCCCCTAACACATCATCCACTCCTACTGCTTATTCTTCAGCTGACCTCAAGTTGGAGCTGACTCTTCCATCATAATTCCTACTAAGTAGCATACTGTGCAACAAACAGGTGGTCCATTGATTCCAGTGGAACGACTTGTGGAATAAGATTCTACTTATCTCCACTGCTCTGATGATCAATACCCCCCATAACGCACCTGTCAAGATCCAAGGATTCTACACATCTATCACAACATGTTGTGTATCTCACCCAGTGCACTAAATGGCCCAATAACAACTATGTGGATGAAACAAAACAGTCACTATGCTCTTGAATGAACTCAGACAGAAAAATGATACAAGATGAAACCATCCTATCAAAACTGTGGGCAAACACTTTTCACAAAGGAATCGCTCTATACCAGAGCTCTCAGTCCTCATTCTCAAAGGAAATCTGCACACCACCGTCAAAAGATGAACCTGGAGCTTAAATTCATAACTATGCTAAACACTAAAAATCATGGGCTTAATAAAGACACTGGATTTATGGCTTATTACAACAATCTATAACCCACTAACCTCTCGTTTTTGTCCTGTGACTGCAGAGTGGCTAACTGGCCAATTCACCTTGAATGATCTCTTACCATATTCTGTATGCATTGTTGTTGCAGCCATACTGGTCCCAGAATATTAGAGCGACCAGGTGGGTGAGGTAATATCATTTATTGGACCAACTTCAGTTGGTGAGAGAGACAAGCTCTTGAGTTTACACAGAGCTCTTCTTCTGAACCGTGTCTCTCTCACCAACAGAACTTGGCACAATAAAAGATATTACCTCACCCACTTTGTCTCTGTAATATCCTGCTACCTACACAGCTACAATGACACTGCAAGTCATAAAAGAGTCAGTTCACACATGAACTTTCTTAACAGTGACAGTGAAAATACAGTGGCTTCTTTCAGATGCCTCTTCATTAACTCTCAATATATCATAACAAATGAGATCTTTTTAATGGGACATTTTGAAGTGTCACTAATTGAGACCAAGTCATATTACTCTATGAATCCATTGTTGAGGGATGCCCTCTACAGACTTATTTGTAAAATGATTCAAAATAAATCAATCCCTCTCATCATTCAGAGAACGACTTTGAAATTCCTAAAGTAACCTTTAATTCTTTTCATTATCTTTCCATCTCCCATGCGCCTTGGCCATGTGGGGTATTATGCCATTGAATTATTGCAAGTAAGGCTGCAACATTACTGAGGTATAGTTCTAGTAGAAATTCAGATTCCATAAATTCGTAATAGGACATAAAAATGAGTTCTACCATTTAATGGAATTTTTATCATTGAGATGGAATCATGCTAATTTCTGAATCTGTTTGTAAACAGATGCCCTCTATAGAATCATTTATGGAATGGTTCCAGATAAATTATCACTGCTCATTATTTAGAGAAATATACTGAAATGCCTAAAATAACCAGGCTTCCTATAATTTTTTGCTTTTCTTCCCCCCATCACCAATACACTGGCCATCTGGAGTACTATAGTATTGAATTACTGCAAGTCAGGCTACATAGACCCACGGTATAGTTCTTGTATAAATTCAGTTTACAGGGCCCAGTTCTGCAAGCCATTACTCACATAAGTAATCCTCAGTCAATCATCTAATCTTACTGAATTTAATGGGAATACACTTGTGAGTAAGGAGTACATGCATAATAAGACCTGGTCTATGCTTAAAAATTAGATTGACTTAGCTACATCACTCAACACTGTGAAAAAAATTGTACCCTCAATACTGTATTTAGGTTGACCTAACCCCAGTTGTAGATGTAGCTAAATCAATGGCAGAATTCTTCCATCAAGCTAGCTAGCTACCTCCTCTTGAGGATGTGAGTTACCTACAGTGATGGAAAAACCCCTTTTATAGAAAGTGTCTACCGGACAATGCTTCAGCATTTATGGTCCTAAGCTTATAGATCTGGGAATGAGACCAAAATGGTATTGAAAGGAATGCTTTCGCGTATGCTTGGCTTTACTACTGAATGCTATTTTGACATTTAACTTAATATGTTTCAGCTACAAGTGGATGTAGTTTTTACAAAGTATTTAAATTAGGGGGGAACTTTTCACTTGAAACTCATGATCCAATTGGTCTGAACAGGACTGTCTAACTTCCTGCCCTCCAGAACTTTGCCAGATTGCCTTGAGACTTCACCACTGTCCACTGAACAGCAGTTAAAAACAAGTGGGGTGGGAGTTTCAAAAGCGCTCAGCATTGGTCCAACTCTTCTTCCATGGAAGTCTCAATGGGAATTTTGCCAGTGATTGCAGTGGGAACTGAGTTAGGCCAACACCACACGTTTTTGAAAAACCCCACCCTTGATCATTTGCCTACCACCAACACCCTGATTGTTTTTTAGTTCAGCTATAAAATGTTTAATAGTTACTGCAAAATTAATGGCATGCTACTCAAACATCCAGCTGCTCCGTGAAATTAATTATATTTTAAATCCTTGTGCTCACTTTCCTGCTGCAGATTGCAGCTGCTCCTCTGAGCTACACACAGTTGAGTTTAGTCTTTGTGCCAGAGTGCGATCTTTGGCAGGCTTTTTAGAAGTTTTAATAAAACCTAGCTCATGGTGGAAAACTATTGCCCACTGAGTTGAAAATTGACCAGTATTCACCCTGCAGCTAAGGTCATTGTAATCCACCATATGGAACTTTCCGTTTAAGTGTACCTTTCCACCATACGGCCAAATGCCACTCAACGTACAATGAAATAGTATCATATAAGATGCACTTATTAAATTGGAGCATTGCCTCTATATAGGAAACACCCTTCCCTGTGTGATTCTAATTGTAATCCTACACTCCTTTTATTGTCTTGCCATGCATTTACCCATCTAGTGCATTCCAAAGCAGTTCACCCATGCATTTTGTGGGCACAAGTTTTTGCATCCATCTTGGGAAATTTGTCCTAAAATAGGTTGCTGTTGTACTGTGCCTTACATCATGGAGGGCCCCACCTCCATCAGGGATGGATCCTCAAGGTGCTTCTGTAACAAAAAATAATAATGTATTAATGTATTAGTAGAGAGACAAGATGGGTGAGGTAATATATTTTATTGGACCAACTTCTGCTGGTGAAAGAGACAAGCTTTCGAGCTAACACAAGAGCTCTTCTTCAGGTCTGGGAAAGGTATTTAGGGTGACACAGCTAAATACAAAGTGGACCAGATAAAGAGTTAACACGTTGCAAGAGACCATTCTAGGGGCAGTAGGCAGTTAGCACCTCTATGGCTGTAGGACAAAGTGGGGTTAGTGGGTTACAGATTGTTGTAATGAGACATAAATCCCTTGTCTTTATTAAGTCCATGATGTTTAGTATCTAGCAAAGTTATGAATGTGACCACCCAGGCTCATATTTTGAAGGTGTTGTGCAAGTTTCCTTTGAGGACAAGGACTGAGAGATCAGATATGGAGTGATCGCTTTGTGAAAAGTGTTTGCCCACCATGGCTGATGGATGATTTTGTCTTTTATCATTTTTCAGTGTGAGTTTATTCGAGAGCGTAGTGATTGTCTCATTTCACTTAGTTGTTATTGGGGCATTTAGTGCACTGGCTGAGGTACACCACATGTTGTGATAGGTATGTGTAGACCCATGGATCTTGAAAGGTGTGGTGTGGGGGGTATTGATCATTATAGCGGCAGAGATATGTCTGCAGGTTTTGAATCTGTTGTTATGGCTTTGGCTGGTGGTGCTGCTTTGAATTGGTGTGTCCTGGTCTGTGGGAATCTTGCTTCTGATGATGAGCTTGGAGAGGCTGGGCAGTTGGCTGACAGCCAGAAGATGGGGTTTGGGAAAGTTCTTTCAGGATGTGGTTTATTTACTAATGATTATTGTTAGTAGAGAGATATCCTTCAAATTCAATATACTTGCTAGCATGTCTTGGAGGAAAGAAGACTGAGGAGGGACCTGGCAACAGTCTTCCAATATATTAAGGGCTGTTATAAAGATAATAGTGATCAATTGTTCCCCACCTCCACTGAAGGTAGGACAAAAAATGGGCAGCATGGGAGATTACCGTGACATAATAGGAAAAACTTTCTAACTCTAAGGGTAGTTAAGCTCTGGAACAGGCTTCCAAGGGGGGTTGCAGAATCCCCATCACTGGAGATTAAAAACAGGCTGTACAAACCCCTGTCAGGGATAGTTTTAGCTTACTTGGTCCTGCCTGAGGGCAGGGGGCTGGTCATCAAGTCTTCTCATGGTCTCTTCCAGCCATACCTTCTCTGTGATTCCCTGGCTAAAGCGGGAGCTGGAGTAGTTAATGCAAAGAGGAGTTAGAAGCACAGTAGGCAGAGATGGAAGTCACACGTTAGGCAACCAACACCTCCTCCATCGCTTGCTCGAGGGGTGGACTAGACCCTTGCTAGGAAGTAGATGTTGCCTGATGTTCCCACTCGCTCTCCGCTCCCCACCACACACACCACTGGGGCTCCCCAGAGCAGCGAAGCGGGGCTCCGGCCACCCCTGGGTGCGGACGGAGGCGAGCTGCGGAAGGACGCCCAGGAGCTGCTGCTGGGGGGCCGAGCGGGGTGAGTTGTGGCTGCACTGGGCTGGGGGGCGGGCACTCCGGGCGTTGGGTGTGTGTCTCTCTGCGGCATTTCTCTGGCTGGCTACAGACGGCTCGTCTCTGACTCCCTCCCTCCTCCGTTCCCGCAAGACGGGGAAGGGCCGCCCGCCCCCCAGGTCCGCCCCTCTCCAGTGCTGCTCAAATGCCGGCCCCGGCAGCGGGGCAGGGCTGGGGCCCCCTCGGCTAGCGGGCAGAGCGCCCGGCTCGCCGCGCAGCTCCCGGGCCATGGAGCACGTGGGGCCGGGCCAGGAGGGGAACGCCGCGGAGCCCCTGCGCTGATCAGGTAGGGTGGGCACGGGGATCCGGGCCGGGCGAGGGCAGGGCGGAGCCGGCAGCCGGCCCCACGCGTGTTCGGAAACTCGGCTGGCGGAGCGCGGGGGCCGCTGTGTGCATGCCGGGGGGCAGCCGGCGGATCACACCGACCCCTGCTGCCAGCCGGCGCCGCCGGTGGCTGACTCCTGCCTCCCTTCTGTCCGGGTCCCGGCTAGGCAGGCTGGGTCCAAGCGCTGGTTTGTCTCCGCTGCTGTGTGCGGGGCAGTTCGTGCCAGGCTGTCCTTCCGCCCAAACCGGGAGTGTTGGCTCGGCTCGGTTGTGTTTCAGCGTCTGGACCCGTGAGCGGAGTCTTTCCAACCCTGCCGAGTAACAGGT